TAACATTCGAGTGACTAATGGCTTCGGCTGCTCGCTCACTTGCATTGTGTAATATTTCTGCAAACTGTTGGGCTCGGGGCACGGGATTCTCGATGCTAGGTGTGATGGGCACCGTGGGGTTTTGTCCCTTAGTTCAGGTAAAATGGTGATTGTCTGGTAGTGGCTGATGGGCCATTAATGTATGCGAACTCGATCCGTGGCAGTTGTTGCTCCCAGGCTGCCACATCATCGCAGGTGGCGCGAATCAACTGCTCGATCGTCTGATTGGCTCGTTTGGTCTGACTGTCAAGCTCGGGGTGATAGGCGGAGGAGAATTGTAGGCTCGTACCAAATTGGTCCCCCCAAGGTTGCGCCATAAGTTGCTGGTGAATTTCGTGTCACGATCGGAAATGATGGTGGAGGGGATTCCGTGGAGTCGAACGACGGTCGAGATGAAGAGGCGGATGGTTTCTTCGGCTAAGATGCTTTTCTTGTAGGCGGCAAAGTGAGCCATCTTCGTCAGCTTGTCGACGACGAAAAATATCGCATCATAGTAGCTGGCGAAATCCGCCATCCGCCCATCCGCCCATCCGACGAAAAATATCGCATCCGCGAAAAATATCGCATCATAGTCGTGACGAAATCCATCGTCTCCTGCTGCTCACGTGGCGGAATCGGTTGCAATTGTCCAGCTGGCTTCTGCTTTGATGATTTCATGGTTTGGCACATTCTATACACAGCCACATGCCACTGCATGTCCCCTTGCATGTCGGGCCAGAAATTGTATCTGGTCAACTGTTGCCATGTTTTCTTAACTCTGGAATGCCCTGAAGTTGTACGGTCGTGGGCTTCCTATACTAGAAAATCCCGTAATAGACAGTACTTCCTGTACCCAGATGCAGTCAATCCCTGTCTTGACATAATAGACTGCCTTAGCCATTGCGAGTTGTTCGTACGCACCTGATGTAAAGAATCCGTTTGTCTGGTACCCGTGGGTAAATAGGCATGTTAAGAGCAGGTAAGTTTGGGCAAGGATGATTGAGTTGAGATGGGCGGATGGGCGAGAAAAGGGGTCTGTGATGTTGGATGCCCCTTTTTTGGTGGGTGACAGTATAGTGGAAATTGGATTCCATAGAATCCAACCATCGGATCTATCGTGGGTTTAGTTGTGGCTGTCCTCGAATGTACTGTAGGCTGCAATGGTCTGTCTGTACTATCACGTCCGCGTCCGTCATGTAGCATCGCCACATTTTGAAGGCGTGCACGACCGCGAGCATCTATTGGTTGTGTATCGGATAGTTTCGCTCAGACGGGTGTAAATTCCATGACTCGTACGTGATTTTCTACAGACCGTCGCGAAAGTCCTGTAATAGTACCGCCCCGATGATGATGTCGCTGGCATCAGTGATGACTTCGAACGGACAGTGAGGATCGGTGATGCAAAGGACATGAGCTGAGTGCAGAAAAGTTTTGAGCGCAGAGAAGGCAGCTTGCTCTTTCTCCCCCCATCTATACTCAGTCCCTTTCCGCAGTAGGTCAGTCCACTGTGCAGTTACCCCCGACCTATTCGGGATAAATCACCGAACGTAATTGACAAACACTAAAATACTTTGCAGCTCTTGCAGGTTCGAAGGTGGTAGCCAGGCTTGCACTGTCTTGATCTTGTGCGGCCACTTCAACGCCCTTAGTGGAAATGATGTGCCCAAAGAATTCTAACCTATCTTTTAAGAAATCACACTTAGACCCCTTGGTGAGCAGCCAATGCTCCTGTAGTAGAGTGAAAACTGCTTTGAGATCCTTTACGTGTTGCTCCCAGATCTCACTGTAAATTGGGATGTCGTCAAGGTAAACTATAACACACTTATCTACAAGCAGGCTGAATATCTGGTTCATAGTAATTTGAAAAGTCGGCGGGGGCGTTCGTGAGTCCGAAGGGCGTCCCGGCCTATTACTCTCGAAACAGCGACCCTTTAAGGTTGTAACTGCTGAGTTCGAGGTTGAAACAGTGTGTACGGTGGTATGCTCCATTGGTTCCCAAGTGTGACATCCACCCTTGGTTTGTATAACAAATCTATCACAAGATCGAATGCACTATGCGTAGTGTGGAAGAGAATGTGAACTATAGAATGAATATTAAATGTTGAATGACAATCCCAAAGAGCAACACAATTTATAGGCGAGCACTCGCGAGGTCCTCCGAGCGAGGCTCGAGTCTAGGTAATACGTGAATTTTCCAGAAAGGAACCATTTCGCGTTAGAAGCAACTATTCTAGAAGCACTAGAGGATTTGCCGAAATACGATGAACACTCGGTGCACGCAACAGTTAATCTAAGTAACACATACACTTATGATAACAGAGAATAATCCAAATAACCACTTTGGATAAAATAATCCGAGTGATTAAAAGGAGTATTCTAGGTAATCAATGGTGTCCTAGGAAATATAGAAATTGTTCTTTCTCCTAGGAAACCTAGTCTGCTCTCATACTTCACCCCCTCAAAGTTGGGTAGTATCTGTAATGCCCTGCTTGAGTAAGTATTGTCGAAGAGCACGAGTAGCGTTTCCCATATCGGATTCCTTAACCTAACTGTCCTTGGACGGATCATAGCCCTTCCAACGGTTGAGGAACTCGATGTGGCCATGACGTTGGCGTCGATGAGCACATACAGACTCGATCTCGACCTCAGGTTCTCCGTTGATGATGAAAGAAGTAGGCGTAGTAATATTCGGCCAGTAGTAATATTTGACAACGCCTGTTAGGGTCTTGTTGCTGCCAAAGTGTCCAGCTAACGCAGCGTCGTGATATATGCGAGCCCTTGGTCCCATAGAAGGAGTCTTTGTCTATCTGCTGCTGGAATCTCTCAGTCAGTGTTGTAGCCGTGCTGGAAGAGGCCTTTGAGGATGTTGTGTGATGTCATCATATGTTATCACATTCTGTCTGCCTCCCATCCCTTGTTTCAATTCGCACGTATGGTTTGACTGTGTGTGAAAGAATTTGTGTGGTGTGTGTTCTGGAGTTTGGGAATGTGTTTTGTGTTATTCTGTCTGAGCAGGTATTTGTGATGATAGATCTTGAGAAGATCTTTCCGACGCAACAAGAATCGCGTCAATCGGAGCAAGAACGCGAAAGCTATGAAGATTCAAAGTTCATGAGCTTGCGTTACAATTGCGGCGGTTACAAAGTGAAGTTGTGGGGTGACTTTATATGGAGTTGGGACCTTTGGGGTTGGGGAAATTCGTCACTCTACTGTAACAGCTGCAAATTGGTTGGGAACAACCAAGCTAGGTTGGCAAGGGTGGCCAACTTGGATGGATTGGTTGGGAAGGGACAAATGTCAAAGTTGGGGTTCCTATAGGGAGGGAATCTTTGTGCTTATGGGGTTTCCTTGGTTGGGGACTCTCTTGGGACCTTCCCTCTCATCCCTCTCTTCTATCCCAACCTTTCTCTTGCTCCTCTAAATTCCTTGTGAGATTCTTGAACTCTTGAGATTGAGTTAAGTTCTCCTCCTACAGCTTACCCCCTAATGCGTCGAAAGCCATAGCGTCGCGAATACTTCATCAATCAACATGATTCAAATTGGGAACGGTAGCTGAGATAAAGAGCTACAACATATCCAAGTTTCGCGACATTCCAACGGCTAGGTTTTCGTCGACGTCGTTTCTTGTGAAGACGACTTTTCTGTCCAGAATTTCGGATTTATATTTTGAGTAATTCTAGCTCCTAAGTTCACCTAGACTCCGTCCTTAATCCTAACAAGTGGTATCAGAGCGATATTAAGGACATTGAGAGGAGTCTACAGAAGTGTGAAGACCCTTCTAGACCCACCATGGCCTGTGGGTGTGCCTAAGTGGTGTTCTAAAGGTTGGATGTGTCTTCCGCTAAGGGAAACTCTGCCGAAATTTCGTGGACGCCGACACTTGTGAAAATATCGAGGGAGCTGAGTGTGGACAGCAAAGGGGGGCTGAAATTCGTCATTTCTCAAGGAGAAGATGAATGAGAGAGGAGGAGATGCTAATGGAAGAGGAGCTGTAGCTGAGAAGACAAGTGAACCGCCGCCATCAAAAGTTGAAGCTTTGGATGGCTCCAACTATGAGGAATGGAGCGGACGGATGAGAAGTGCCTTCAAACGCTACAAGCTACTGAAGATTGCTGTTGGGGAAGAGAAGATGCCGGAAGAAGGCGAAGCACGTGAACGGTGGATTGAGAAAAGCACGGTGCTTTTCGACCTCATCCTTCAATCGGTCAACAAGGAGATGTTCGAGCACATCAAGGATCTTGTGGAAGCGGATGATTCGGGTCCAAGGGCGTGGAAACTACTACGCGATGTGATTCAGCCCAACACTCTCCTGATGGTGATCGTGCTCGAGAAGGAACTTGCTGCCATCTCCATGCGACCAGGGGACGATGTGAAGCCGGTCCTTGACAAGATCAAGGACACCTATGCAAGGATGGCAGCAGCGGGCAGCAGTGTATCTCAGCTGCAGCAGTGCACCAAGATCATCTCGGTGTTGGACAACTCGTGGGATAACCTCATCCCCACCCTCAACTCTCAGCAAGATCAATGGACACCTGAGTGGCTAAGGCAGCAGATTCTGCAGGAGGACTTCCGCAGACGCCATGTGGGAGGCGGTGCTGCCACTAAGACTGCTGAGGGGTATGGAGCTGCAGGGCGCGGCAGAGGAAGAGGGGGTTGGAAAGGCCGAGGCCGTGGGAGGAGCTTTGGCAGAGGTAGAGGCCGAGGTGACTATAATGAGGGGCATGGGAGCTCTAGTGGCAGGGGGAGTACCAGAATGGAGGGCACGTGCTGGTACTGCAAGAAGGTTGGGCATCCTTGGTTCAAGTGCTTCAGCAGGCTGGAGGGATGGGCACCTCCAGGCATGAAGCCGCCCAGTGGTGAACGCGCACAAGGTGGCGCTGTGCAAGGCTCAGGTGCACAAGGTGAAGGTGCACAAGGTAATGCCTATCCTGGTTTGTTTGTTATGGTTGAGGATGTGCATGGGCATGAGGGTGATGTGGGATCTGTGGGAAAGGTTGTGATGCACCCTCTCACGCACTGGGTGATTGATTCGGGTTGCACCAGTCACATGACCCCACGGGCAGATTTGCTTGATGAGGTAAAACCCCCTGGGAAGATCAAGTATGTGGCAGCAGCGTCAGGTGCTTTGCTCCCTGTCATTGGTGTTGGAAATGCCAAGGTTAAGGGAGCTAATGGGGAGCTTGTGGGGCTTGGGAATGTTCTGCTGGTTAAAGGCTTGTCTGCTAACCTTCTCTCTGTGCGACGACTGCAGAAGAGCAAGGCCGAAGTGACCTTTGGACCAACCAGCTGCCGTGCTAAGCTTGGGAAGAAGGTGCTATGGAGTCTGGAAGAGGAGACCAGTTGCATCAAGGACCTGTGGCAGCTGCCCATCATCCCATGGAATGGGAAGACTCCAACAGCAGCAACGGCAGCAGCGGCAAAGGCAACAGCAGGAGGAGATGCAACTGCACCAACTGATGGGGTCCTGGAAGCAGTCAAGAAAGTGCAGCAGCAGCAGAGACATGGTGAGGTGCTTGCTGGTGTGGATGCGAGTGCGGCATGGGCTAAGGCTTCATCAAAGAGTGGAGAGGCCGATTGGGAGACATGGCATGAGAGGCTGTGTCATGTGAACTTCCCTATGCTACAGAAGTTGGTAAAGGATGGGAGCCTGAAAGGCTTGGAGGTGAAAGGGGGAGTGAAGGAGATTGGGAGCTGCCCTACATGCTTGGAGACCAAGTTCTCCAAGTTCCCCTTCAACAGCACTACAGGACCAGCCAAGACCCCACTTGCACTTGTGCACATGGATGTGGTGGGGCCCACAAGAGCCCCTTCCCTCTCAGGCAGCCGCTATTTCTTGACAATTGTGGATGACCACACTCGAGCAGTGTGGGTTTACCCTTTGAACAGCAAGGGGGAGGTGGCAGCGGCTGTCCTTAAGGAGTGGATGCCGAGAGCTCAGAGGGAATGCGGACACAAGGTGAAGGTGATCCGTAGTGACAATGGTGGGGAGTTCATTGGAGCTGATTTTGAGGGGGAGTTGAAGAGGAAGGGGATCCAGCATCAACTGACAGTGCCCTACAACCCACAGCAGAATGGCGTGGCTGAGAGGTTCAACAGGACCCTGCAGGAGGGGGCACGCACTCTCCTTGGGCGTGCAGGGCTGCCTGATCCGTTTTGGGTGTCTGCACTGAGGCAGGTCGCCCTTGTGAAGAACAGGGTGCTGGCTACAGTTGGAGATAAGGAGTGGATCCCATACGTCAAGTGGTATGGGAGTGCTCCAGCTGTGAACATGCTGAGGGCATTTGGGTGCATGGTGGTGTTTCATGTGCCTAAGGAGAAAAGGGGGAAGTTGGAGGCTTCTGGAAGATGGGGTGTGCACTTGGGGATTGCAAAGGATCACAAGGGGTGGCTGCTATGGGACTTGACCACCCAGAAGTTGACAGTGTCAAGGGATGTGAAGTTTCTTGAGTCCCTGTACTACAAGGAATGGAAGCAGCAGCAACAGAAGCTTCCATCTACACCGCTCATTGTGGAGGCGGATGAGGTGCAGCGGCCTTCAAGACAGGTAGAGGTTGCAGTGTCAGAGGAGGAGATGTCTGGGGTGACTGAGGAAGGGGGAGCAGCTGAAGTAGAGCAGCAGCAGCAGCAGCATGAGTCTCCACCTCGAGTTCCACACCCGCCTGAGCGTCCTAGGAGGGATGTGCGCCCTCCAGTGAGGCTGACCTATGGGGGAAGAGGCAAGCCGAATGTGGTGCAGGCTGGGAGTGTGGTTGAGCAGATTGAGGAAGATGAGATCGCTCACTGCTACTGGGCACCAATCCCTGAGCCCAAGACTCGAGAAGAGGCCTTGAATGGACCAAATGGGGAGAAGTGGAAGGCGAGTGAGGATGAGGAGTTTGGGTCCCTGATTGAGAACGAGACATGGGACCTGTGTGACTTGCCTCCTGGAAAGAAGGCAATCACTTCCAAGATGATCTACAGGCACAAGTATGGACCTGAAGGGGAGCTGACCCCGATACAAGTCTAGGCTTGTGGCAAGGGGGTTTCAGCAGACAAAAGGGAAGGACTATGATGAGGTGTTTGCTCCTGTGGGGAAAGGAACAACACTGAGGGTGCTGTTGGCGATAGCTGCACTCCTGGGATGGAAGATACGGCAGATGGACATTGTGACTGCCTTTCTGAATGGGATCATTCTGGAGGAGGTGTATATGAAGCAGCCAGAGGGGCTGGATGATGGGAGCGGCAGGGTCTGCAGGCTGAAGAAGGCCATCTATGGCCTTAAGCAGGCGCCTCGTGCATGGTATCACAAGTTGGAGGAGGCGCTGCTGGCTGGGGGTTTCAAGAAGAGTGAGTGTGACCCCAGCCTGTTCCTGCTGCAGGAGAAGGATGAAATCCTCATGCTCTTGGTGTACGTGGATGATATCCTTCTCTTTTCTGCATCAACTGCTTTGCTGGACAGCGCAGAGCAGATGCTAGAGATGCAGTTCAAGTGTTCCAAGATGGGTGAGGTGAAGTACTACTTGGGGATGCATGTGGAGAGAGATGTGGAGAAGGGTGTGCTGAGGTTGCACCAGAGGAAGTACTGTGAGGGGCTGGCTGAGAAGTATGGGCTGCAAGATGGGGGAAAGCCAGCAACACCACTACCTTCAGGGTTTACTGTGGAGCCATGTGCTGATGAGGAGGTAGTGGGTGAGAGTGACAGGAAGCTGTTTCATTCGATGGTTGGGTCGCTGAATTATGCTGCAAATCAGACACGGCCTGACATTGCATTTTCTACATCACGGTTGGCTAGTGTGGTCTCACGCCCTAGTGTGAGATTCTTGAACTCTTGAGATTGAGTTAAGTTCTCCTCCTACAGCTTACCCCCTAATGCGTCGAAAGCCATAGCGTCGCGAATACTTCATCAATCAACATGATTCAAATTGGGAACGGTAGCTGAGATAAAGAGCTACAACATATCCAAGTTTCGCGACATTCCAACGGCTAGGTTTTCGTCGACGTCGTTTCTTGTGAAGACGACTTTTCTGTCCAGAATTTCGGATTTATATTTTGAGTAATTCTAGCTCCTAAGTTCACCTAGACTCCGTCCTTAATCCTAACAGAGGAGATGGTTCATCCCTTGCACTTGGAGGGAAGCGAGGTTCGGCAGTCTGCTAAGTGCGTCAGCCTTATTGCGCAACCCAGGCTTGTACACGATATCGTAGTTGAAGTGGGTTTCCATGATATCCACCCACCGAACTTGACGTCGTGACAGGGTCGGTTGTGTTTTTAGGTACTGCAGGCTGCAATGGTCGGTGTAAACCGTCGTCGTCGCTCCTTCCAGGTAGCAGCGCCAATTCTTAAAGGCGAGGATGATAGCCAAAGCCTCTTTGTCGTGTATGGGATAGTTCAGCTGCGCTCCATGCAATTTCTTGCTAAGGTATGCAATAGTTTGCAACCCTTTGCCATGATCTTGCATGAGTACTGCTCCCATAGCTGCACCATTGGCGTCAGCTATGAGAACGTAGTCCTTATCAGGGTCATCTAGGATTAGGACTGGTGCCAAAATTAGAGCTTGTTTCAGCTTCTCCATAGCTTGTCTGTGCGTCTCCCCCCACCGAAAAGGTATGTCTTTTTTCAGTAACTCCGTGAGCGGTACTGCTATCTCGGCATAGTTGGGGACGAAGCGTTTGTAGTAGTTAGCAAAGCCAAGGAACTGCTGAAGCTCCTTCACGTTCTTTGGCTGCTTCCACTACTTCACTGCATCGATCTTCTTGGGGTCCACGTGTGTTCCACGTGCGCTGACGACATGTCCCAAGAAGGGAACTTGGTTCAATGCGAACTTGCTTTTCGATAGTTTGGCGTAAAACTGTTCCTTCCGAAGGATCTCGAACACTTGCCCCAGATGACGTATGTGTTCGTCCATCAGCTTGGAGTATATTAGGATATCCTCAAGGTACACCATGACACACTCGTTAAGTAGCGGGCGGAGAATATGATTCATCTCGGCCAGGAACGTGGCGGGTGCGTTCGTGAGTCCGAACGGCATCACTAAATACTCGTAGGAGCCATAGCGCGCCCAAAAGGCGGTTTTGTGGATAGAGTTATGTGCCATAGCACATTCGCCATCCGAATTTGCCAATATCCTGACCAGAGGTCCGTTTTGGGAAAAAATAAATGGTGGCCCCTCGAAGCTGGTCCAGCAGGTCGTCTATCCTTGGAATATGATATTTATTCTTGACGGTCTGCTTGTTGAGCGCCGTGTAGTCGATGCACATCCGCAACAATCCATCGGGTTTTGGTGTGAAGAGTACAGGTGCCCCATAAGGTGATGTTGGCGGTCGGATCAGCTTCTTCTCCAGCAGGTATTCAATCTGCTTCGTCATATCCGCTAGCTCAGGTAGACTGAGGTGGTACGGAGGTCGGAAGGCTGGTTTTGAACTAGGTTCCTCTACGATCTTGTGCTGGTGTGCACGTACATGTGGTACGCCCGCCGATAGGTTGTCGGGTTACACGTCCTTGAATTCCTGGAGAACCCCTTTGATGGCACTAGGAAGTTCCTCGGGTAGCTCTGATTCGGTGTCGTCCGCTTTAGTAACCAGCACCGTGTAACACTGCTCTGCTTTCTTTAGCTCCTTGGAGAATCGTACCCACGAGATAGGTGGTACGTCTCCCGTGTCGTCCCAAGTTGGTAGCTCGAAACTGATTTATATTTTTATTCGTGGCCATCCCCTACTGCTAGTTGATGGTAGGGTTGAACTGCTTGAAGAAATCCCTCCCGACTATCAGGTCCAATCCTTGTAACTGGGAAACTGGTGCAACGGGTGCCCAACGTATTGGTCCAATGTAGAGTTGTAGCCGCGTTTCGCCGCGTACTGGTAACTCGGTGCCATCCTTGTCGCCGTAGAGTGGGAAGGTTTGCTGCTGAAGCCAAGACGTTTGATGGTGGTGTCAGAGGAAATTGTATGGGAGGCTCCGCTATCCACTAAGGCTTGAAGTCTCCGGCCATTGCATACTACTGTCAAGACTAGAGGAGGTTTGGCTCCCCCATGTAGTTGAGAACCTTTCCACTAAGAGGGTCATAGGGTATAGAGGTGGAGGACTTGAGGGTACTAATGGATCCACTAGATTCTAATGGTATAGCTGCTGCAGTAGGTGTGATAGGCAAGTGGTGTGTGAAGGACGGATCCACAACTACCCAACTGGGACGATACAGGAGATATCCCAGTGGAGACACTCGCACGATTCGAGAAGGACGTGAAGCGAACCGACACCGGGTTCCTGGCGATAGCAACAGAGGTGAAGAACGACGAAGAGAAGACCTCGGAACCTCCAGGAAAGATCAAGGAATTATTGAAGGAGTTCCAAGACATTCTTCCTGACGATCTTCCGAATGAGCTACCGCCATACCGAACGCATCAGCACGAGATCGTGGAGGAACCAGGTTCGAAGCCGACCTTCCGAGCACCGTATCGGCTCAGCCCTACGGAGCTGATCGACATGAAAAAACAGATCGAGTATCTCCTAGCCAAAGGACTCATCCAACCATCTACTTCGCCATACGTTGCCCCAGTGCTCTTCACACCGAAACCGGACGGAAGCCTGCGCATGTGCATCGACTACCGAGCTCTTAACAAGCAGACCATCAAGAACAAATACCCAATCCCATGAATTGATGACCTGCTTGACCAGCTTCGGGGAGCTACGGTATTTTCTAAATTGGATCTGCGGTCCGATACTGGCAGATACGGATGGCGGACAACTCTATCCACAAAACTGCTTTCTGAACTCGGTATGGATCGTACGAGTATCTGGTAATGCCGTTCGGACTCACCAGCGCATCGGCAACATTCCAAGCTGAAATGAACCACATTCTACGACCACTTTTAGACGAGTGCGTGGTGGTGTACCTGGACGACATCCTAATCTACTCGCGCGACATGAAGCAGCACGTCGAACACCTGCGACGCGCCTTCAAAATTCTTCGACGAGAACGATTCTACGTCAAACTGTCTAAGAACAAATTCGCTTTTGAGAAGGTCCAGTTCCTAGGACACATGGTGAGCGCTCAAGGAGTTCACGTCAACCCCAAGAAAATCGAAGCCGTACGTACGTAGAAGACACCCGAGAACGTGAAATAGTTGCAGCAGATCCTAGGCTTCGCTAATTACTATAACAGGTTTGTGCCACAGTATGCGAAAATCGCAGCACCACTCACGAATCTGCTGAAGAAGAACACGCCCTACAGATGGGAGACGAAGCACCAAGAAGCCATGGAACAGCTGAAACAAGCACTCACGTCCGCACCAGTACTCATCTTGCCAGATCCCGAACGCGACTACGTTATCGAAGCTGACGCCAGCGACCAGGCGGTGGGAGCAGTCTTAATGCAAGACCAGGGGAATGGACTGCAACCAATCGCCTACCTCAGCAAGAAACTGCACGGGGCAGAACTAAACTACCCGATACACGACAAAGAGGCCCTTGCCATCGTCATCGCCTTCAAAGCGTGGAGATGTTATCTCGAAGGACGAAGAACAACCGTCTACACCGACCACTGCAGCATGAAATATTTGGAGACACAACCCAACCATTCCAGGCGGCAGGTCCGGTGGATCGACTTCCTCGAGGCACACTTCCACTACGACATCGTGTACAAGCCCGGTAAAAAAAACAAAGCAGACGCCCTCAGCCGGCCTGCACACGTTGCCGCCATTCAGATCGAAGGGATGAATCCACTCCTCAAGGGACTCTTCACACACGGGTACGCCATCGACCCCGAAATTCCCTTGGCAGAAAAGCGACATCTGCTACAGTGGGACAGTGACATCACGTACCGGAAAGGATCAACAAAAATCTGGGTACCCAATTACCCTCCATTGCGCCAGTTACTACTCGAAGAATACCACGACGTCCTCTACGCCGGACACTTCGGTAGCAACAAGACGCTGACCGGTATTGCAAAGCACTACTACTGGCCCCACTTGGCAGAGGATGTTCAGAAGTTTGTCACCTCGTGTGATACATGTCAGAGGATAAAGAGCAGCAAACAGAAGAAAACGGGACTACTGCAGCCTCTTCCTGTCCCAGAACAGCCATGGCAAGTGGTTAGCCTGGATTTCATCACCGGGTTACCACCTACCAGCAGCGGTCATGACGCCATCCTTGTCGTCATCGACAAGTTCTCCAAAATGGGACACTTCATCCCGACACACACGACAGCACGCACCGAGGAGACATCACAACTATTCGTTCGCTACATCATCTCATAGCATGGCATTCCAACCACACTTATCTCCGACCGAGACCCCAAGTTCACCAGCAAGTTCTGAAAGGAACTCATGTCTCTCCTCGAGACCAAAATCGCCATGTCATCCGATTACCATCCGCAGACAGACGGACAGACCGAGCGCCTCAACCAGATTGTCGAGCAACTCCTCCGAGCAGCCTGCAAAGACGAAATCTCCAAATGGGACTTGCATGTGCCCGTTCTAGAGTTTGCTTACAACAACGCTACACATGCCGCTACTGGTCAGACGCCGTTCTTCCTCTGCTACGGACGCCACCCACTCACACCACAGAAACCGGTCACATCAGCAACAGTCCAACCAGCACACGACTTCATCACAACCATGCATCAGCTTTGGGATCGGACCCACAAGCGCCTCCTGGACATTCAGCAGCAACAGAAGCGCCAGGCCGATCGCCATCGCAACGACCATACCATCACTGTGGGAGACCAGGTGCTTCTAGACACACGCAACCTAGACATCAGCCACCTCCCATCTAAACTTCGACCTCGCTTCTGCATGCCTTTTCTCGTTGAAGCACAAATCACTCCTGTTACCTTCCGCTTACGCTTGCCAGCTACCTGGAAGATTCACAACGCCTTCCATGTCCAACTTCTGAAGCCCTATCGCGATCCAAACACGATCTTTGTCGGACGCCAACCGCCACCGCCACCGCCCGTCCTCGTCCAG